GAGGAGCAAATTCAGGCATGATTCTTTGGGAGGAGGTGCAAAAAAGAAATTTGCAAAGCCAATATAATAAAAAGGAAAAGAATTCCCTATCAGTTACGGGACCCACTCTTTTGTTCTCAGCTCTAACAAAATCACTGTAAGATGAATTAAGAGAGGGGAGGGAGAAAGGGACTACTAAGTCAGGAAAATCTGGTGTGATGGGGATATCAATGGGGGATACTCCTAATAAATGGCAAATATCAAGAACAGTGGGAGCCATCATCCCACACCTAAACTGAAAGAAATTGAAAATAGGGTTCCAAAAACATAAAGCAGCGGGGATTAGAAAAGGGTCCTCTGAGATAGTTACCCTAGATAGTCGAAGAGCATCAAGAAGGCAGAGTTCTTGAAGGTCCAATGTCCTAGCAGGGACAACCCGGTCGTACCATTCTTGCCACTCTGGTCTCATCGTGGGCCAGCATCGGTGAGGACGATTGACTTTCCAACCTTGCCAGTCGAGACCACCCTCGTACAGAAGGCATTGATTCTCCAAGCGAGGATATAGATGTCTCTTCAAAGCTAAAGATGAGCTTACGCGCTCTGGGGCTGGTACTTTTTGTGAAGAAGAAGCCATTGATGATACACTCTTCAGAAGATGAAGACCGAAACAAATAGGAACCAGTAGAGAGAAGGGTTTGTAAAAGGCAAGAGATTTCGGAACACGAGACGAGAGGGTTTTAAAATCTTTGTGTCCGAAATTATACCCCGTGAGTCGTTAAGTATTAAAAGTACGAATGCGAGGAATCTCTTCCAATATTGATAGTTTTGGAGGGAAGAGCTTATTCTGGGATTGGGGCCAGCTTCGAAATAAAATATTTGGCTTCGAAGACAAGATGTTGGCGCCAAAAAATCAAATAACAACGGCTTCGAAATCCATAAGCCGACTTCGAAGCCCCTTATATGCGTAAAGGTGCTAAATTGCTTGATTATTGGTCTATTTCAAAGGGTTTAATGACCTGTTTAGAGATTATAAATCAAAGTAACGACCTTCGAAGCAAACCCTAGTATTCTCTGAGTATGAGAAACACTGTTCAAAGCATCAAAACCAATTGTTGGTTTTTTATACATATTACTCTTCGAAAGAAAAATGGCCAATTTGAAATTGATTGATTATATTAACCATGACCATATGTTGGTTGTAATTGGCTTTGAGGGGTAATATTGTTAAAATTTAAAGCATTAATTCCAAACGATATCGGCCAGAATTGTCAATTTTACTCCACAAATTGGAATAAGACATGTTGGTTCTTTTAGTACTTCATTAAACAATTGACTCGAAGGATGAGATTGTTCAATTCGAAGTTATGAGTTAGCTTTTAGAAATAAAAGGAAACAGAGTCAAACAGTGTTAAGTACAGAAAGACTTTGTTTATATTAGAGCCAAGATGATTACATTAAGTAACCCTATCTGGGTACAAATTCAAGCTCATAAAAATAAGGAATAGAATAAATAACAAGGTCATGAAATTTTATCCAGCAATGGTCAATAAATTTATGTTCTTTCTTTATTATTTCTTCTATCTCCTCTAAAGTTGGTTGCATAAGCTGATGAACTCTCACTTCATAATAGAGTTCTTTAGCCTTTGCTTCGAAAGCCTCTTCCCTCAATTTTTGTTCCAATTCATCTATAACCAAATCATCCCAGTACGCAGAATCTTTATTTCTGAAGTCATCGAACTCTTCGATAAAATTCTCTGCTTCATACTGGGCATGAATTCGGAGAGATAAAAGTTGATCCAGAGATTGGATGGTGATCTTTGAATTCCGATGCCAATAGAGGAGTACTGGGAGTTGGTTCAAAAACAAATGAAGCTCTGCTTGGGCAAGAGGGTTGAGGACATAACCCCTAGTCAGTACATCACAAGCCCATTGAAAGTTCTTAAGAGGAATGTCATCCTCAAGAACATTAAAGGGCAGGTGGGAGAAAGCCACGAGCAAAAGCTGAGCTTGTTTTCGCTCGGCTGGAGAAGGGGGTGACGGAGGTTGGTAAGGTGGGAAAACTTTGTCCATTGGAAGGGCAAGTCTTAATTTCTCTGTCCAGGAAAGAATGGGAGAAGGAGAATGAGAAGATGGTCCTGCTTCGGAAGATGGGAAGAGAGTAGATGGCTCTGCTTCAGAAGACAAAGGGGGGGGAGCAGATGTTTCTATCTCAGAAGATGCAGAAGAGGGTGCGGATGCCTTTATCATGAGAGATGGCACGGGAGCAAAAGGAACAAAGGCATTAATGTAATCAAGCCAATCAAAAGAACAAATCTTCGCCTTATTGGCTAAGAATGAAGGGGTGTACCCTTGTGCTTCTTCTGGGCGCTGGGTAGGGTACATTATCTTTGTAGGCATGGAAGAAGTATACCAAGCCACAAGCAGAGTCTCTTCCAAGCTACGTCGAAGGTCAATGGGCATGTAAGGGTAGACCACTGAGCTTCGAGCGTAGGAGGGAAACTCCAAGGGGTCGGTAAACTCAACAAAATGGTGATTGATTCGCTCTCTTAAATCATAAGTCTCAGGAGTTGACCAGCTTGTCCAGCTAGAAGCCCCAGAGGGTGAAGAGGTTACAGCTTCATCCCATGTAGAGGTCTGTGAAGAAGAGTTTCCTAAGCCCATATTTGCAACTTGTCGAAGCAAAGGCTTGAGAGTAGTTCGGTCAAAATACAAAGGGAGTTTAGGGGAAGAACTCTTTGTATCTGTAAGTTTGTAAACCAAGGGATTAAAGGCAATGTGTTCGTAGTCCAAAGGTTTGTAATCTGCAAAAGCCTCCATTACCTGAATAGAGAAGGGCGGGTAAAGGTGGCTAATGAATGCGTGGAGGTTCTTTCGAGGGGGAATAACATCACTCAAAGGCTCTTCATATGCTTGATCAGTAGTAAGGGAAGTTGATGCAGCCATAGCCTGTTCGAATACTAAGGTATTGGGATGTTCGACGAGTTAATGCAAATGATCACCAAATAGATGACGGTTGTGTTTCCAGAATTTGGACTCCATACACGTTCTAGAGGCGCGGGAAAATTGTAATCCACTAATATCACCAAGTATTGAGTATATTAGTGCGGGGGGTAATGTTGGCTACATATATTTTGTAAAAGCCAGTTACAGTTTGACACGTGGCAGAGTAAGGGTAATAAAGGAAGGTTATTCAAGCCTTTAATCCTGATCGTACACGTGGCAATAAATATTGGTCCTCACATGATCTGAGTAACACTAGATCAATAACGGGATGCAAGATAACATAGCTTCAACGGTTACTCATATTCAAATTCAAGTACAAGAGGGAAGCTCAACTGCCACTAATGGCGTAATGGAGCTACTTTTAAGGAAGCATGATCAGCGATCATGGAGGAGCAGTTCGACAGTTCGAAGTGCAGTTCGAAGGTCATCACTGACGAATATAAATAGCAGGGCAGTTTCCAGTCTTTAAATACCTGTTCTTTAAATACCTGCACTTTAAATACCCGTACTGCACTTCGATTCATAGGAGTAGCTTCAAGTAGATTGAAGTAGATTGCTGTTGTAAACCTCTCCGAGGCTGAGTTCGGACCATTGTAAGTGTTCATTTTTATGAAATACTTCAAATTGTTCTTCATATTACTGTTATTTCTATTAACTTCTCCTAAGTCAAGCCACCAGTAAAAGTCCTCTTCATTGAGGCTGAAAAGAACTAAAACACAATCGTCTGATAATTGGTTGGCAACCACAATTTCTGTAAGGACTGATTGATCCTTGCTGGCACGCTCATATTCACAAAACTACCATTCGAAAAGCCAAAAAGCCAACAAGTACCATCGATTTTTATTACCTTACATATATTATTGTAAGAGAATCCCAAGAGGCTGGCCTACTGAGTACAACTTGGGGCTAGTGGGTGCAACTTGATACATAGGATTGTACTCTCGCTAAGTGTTAAATTCAACTCTCATTAGGAACAATCTGTATCTTGAAGCTATGCCCGTGAACTCTGTTTAAAATTTGCCCGATTACGTGAAAGGACGTTTTATGTGAGTCTCAAGATTAATCAAACTGCGCATAAGTGAACTCAAACACGCGATCATAAAAAAAAATATATATATATAGGTTGCATTTGTCTTGAACACCCCCACGTGTAGTCCAATTTAGTGCTCTTTTATTATTAGGAACCTTGGTTGCTCGTATATTGTGGCAAAATAACATTTTTCTACAGCTATATTCCCCGTGAAATACTCCTCACCTAAAGCTCTTTTTACTTTGGTTGAATTACACAGATTAATTCCCTTAGAGGCTTCAGTTTTTATTTTTTATTTTGGAAAGCTTCAAGATTTCCTTTAATAGTGTAATACTGCATACCAAAAAAATATATATATATATATATATTCTGAAAATAAACTATATTATTGACTAAATTTATTTTAAGTGTATTTCACACCATATCAAATTTATATATATGCCATACATTTCATTTTTATGTAACATAATGTTTCTGTTGAGTAATAATAGAGACCCTAAAATACAATTATTAAATTTACCTACAGTGACGTGGCAAGGAGTTGTGTGATTAATTGCTAAACAAATCAACAACTACTCACCGTGACTATAACTAAATTTGGGAGTCATGTTTTAGAGGTCTAAAACATTTTTCTTTTTTAAAATTTTCTTCCATCATCTATAAATTTTATGGTGCTTCTGTTTTTGCTACAATGTTGCCTCTTTGGCTCTTACTACTATGTTGTTACATTCTTTGAATTACACCTACATTTTAGGATTTTGATTAAACATTAGCACAATTTTATCCATAAACATTTGTTTAATTTTACAGAAAATCAGTAAGTATTCATTGAATTTTAAAACTCAAAACTTTTAATGACTACCCCAACACAAATTCCTAGAGTCGCCACTACATACATATACACATCTATATGCAGTTCTGCTGCGTTGTTGTTGGGCATGTTTGTTGAAAATTTATGCTATAATTCTGTAATTTGACTCCAATCTGGATAATAGAATGGTTCTCCCTTAAACTATTAGGACAAACACAAGAGATGGAGTTGAAAGGGGATACAGTTTGTTTCATTAAATCAGTAAGATATGGAACAAATTACATTGACATGCACTTCTTCTTCTCCGTTACTGAGTTATCCCCAACCCAACGACATTTATTAGGAAACTGTTCTATGTGGACTTCTTAACTTATCTCTGTGCCTAACTTGGTCAGTAGGAAGATCATAAAATTCTTCGAGATATGCCAATGCTTCCAAGTTATTGTCACATACCTTCCATAGTGACGAAACCTCGCCCTTGGCGACCGTACCCCAGTGCTCACAATCATTGAGAAAGTCCAACAGCTTCGAATAGAAGGAATCATAGTTCATCAATAGAAAGGGAACTGGAAGCTCTGATCCAATTCTTTTGAGTTGAATTAGGGCTAGAATCTCAAAAACCTCATCTAGAGTGCCAACACCACCAGGCAGAGCAACAACAGCAGTCCTGTCTGAGCTATCACTTCTAACTACAGCATCCACTAATCCGTGCTTCCTTGCAGAAAAAAACCTGCATTTCATTTGCATTTTATTTAACAGGGCAGCCTAACAATGTGTTGGTATGCTTTCCAGCCAAAAAACAGTATTTTTTTTTTTATCGCCAACAAAAAATAATATTATTAATAAGGAAAATAAAAAGGATAACAAAAAAGTGGAAGACAAGAAGTCCAAAAAAAAAAATCAAAAGAGGTGAAAAGAGCAAAATTTCTCAAGGTTGGAAGCTACTAAACACACTGCCCTCCAATCCCTAGAAATAAAAAATAATGGAATCCCTTCAAAGTGATTAGCAACTGAATCCCAAAAAGATGACAAATAACACACTGTCCCATGAAGAATCGCATTGCGCTCCTACCAAATAACCCATAGAAGTGAAAAGAAGACACGGTTCCAAATAACCCATAGAACCTAAAAAGTTGTATTTACCTGCATGTAAGATAAGTTTCTGAAGGTAGGTATGGATGGAAATTTGTAGCGGTCCATTCGCCAGCTTCTTTGCTTATCTTAAATCCGCCAACTGGCTTTCCTGCTTGCATAGCACCTTTCGTAGCAGCATCCATGAGACCTGGACCAGCCCCTGTCCATGAAGTACAGTTCAAGAGAATTGCAATCTGCAGAAAATAATAAGTGGGCTCATACAATCCATATAAATTTCGGGCTGAAAAAATTGAATTCTATGATGTATCTTGTGTTGTTCACTTGCAGTTCCACACTCCATATACATCTACATGAATAAGTATATACATGGAAGGTTAAATATGGAGTGACTTGCCTCTTTCCCCAATTCCAGTGCTTGCAAGTAATGCGGATGAGTTGGTCCCATCCTCGAAGAACCCAAATACGCGACTCCCCTTCCTAGCCTGTGAATGAGCTCATAGCACCGTTCTATCTCTTTTTTGACCTTTTCTCAATGAGTTCATATTAGTGAACGAGTTTTTGACAGATTTCATTAAATTGTAGAGTATGTTCCATGTTTACAAAAAAATGGTTAATATAGCCAGATGAAGTAGCACCACGATGCCATGTATGAGCAAATTCAAGCAATCGTTTTTTAGGGATTCAAGAAGTTATGATAATATGAAAGTGCTTCTGTACTAAAGAATGATGTAGAAAAACAACAGAACTGCTATATATGCTTGAGATGGTAAGTCCTAGTATGGCAATAAGAATGTAGATAACATATGACTCTCTTATTCATCCACTCGTCCATCAAGTCTGTCTCATACCACACAGCCACGCAGAGAGACACAAAGAATGCACTGAGATGGCTGTGCAGTGGAGAGGTGGTGGTTGGAGTGAAACACAGATGAGAGGATGGAAAATGAAAAAATATATATATCGGAAAAGAGCATTAAGCAATTTTGCCCCTCTAAATTAGTTCCAGCACAACACCACATGCCCAAATAATGCATGAGCTTCACACACTCTTACTTTTAAATTAGGGTTTCTGTTAATTTTGTGCTGCAAGGACCACAGGGATTTATGTGTTTTCGAAGAAAATCACATAATTTCTCATTTTTCTAAAATATATATATATATATATATATATATATTAGGGAAAGTTTGAAAACTTAGAATTTTTCTGTTCTGTGTTTTCAATTTTGTATATTAAAACAAGCCTAATCATTTTCAGCTTCTTCTCTTTGCATTTTGACAACACAAAGCTGAGATTAAACTCATGACACGCAAACGCACAGAGTCTGTTTGAACATGATGTTGGAGCGTATTCTAATGGAAACCAAAATCGATTTCACTGAAAATTATTTCAAGTTCTAGGAAAATCGAAAAAGAAGACAGAAAGAAATAAGCTTCAGGAAAATCTACAAACCCAAAAAATAAAACAGACATTAAAACATATTCGAAACTTGGAAAGAATCAGAATATGGGTATTACCTCATTTGGGCTTGTTCTCTCCTCAAACTCGAAAATTTCAGGTTTACGTGATGAAATCCTTGTCAGACGAGGCTTGAACTTCGAAATCTTGAAATTCATCCGATCAAAAGATAGAAAATTTGCAGACTTTTGATGGGAATTCTTGAAGAAAACATAGGAAGAACCAAGCGTACAAGTCACTGAAAACCCCATTACAAGATCTTCCAAGATTAGGAGCTCTCAGTCTCACCATCCATGTTGTAATGAGATTCCATGGAAGCTTGGCACTTGGCAGAGAGATAAGGAATAGGGTTCCCCACTATGCCATTGATGAACAAACGAAAGGGCATTGATAGAAATTCACAAAAACCACCGGGGTATTCTGGGCATTTTCTGCGTTCAGTGTCTTTCCAATCAAAGATGGAGGGTATAAAAGTAATTTCAAAAGGTAGGGTTTTGAGTAAAACCAAGTTCACTTTTTCTTGCAAACCATCCGCCATCACTTTGCAAGCAGCTGCGGATTCAGAGAAACCCTAGAACTCTGTGTCAGCAACCATGGGTAATCGAAAGATTTCACTCTATTGTTTTCTCAGTTGAACCTTTATCTTCTTCATGATGATAATCTTGAAAGACCCTAACTTTTTACAGGTATCTCTCGGGATTCCATGCACAAGAGGCGTGCCACTGGAGGCAAGAAGAAGGCTTGGAGGAAGAAGAGAAAGTAAGTATAACCCCCGCAACTCTCTACTGTTATAATCTTTCAAAGGCATTTCTCTTTTTTTTCTTTTTAGATTCGTTTCGAGTCTCAGAGTAATGGGTTTGTTAAATTTACGTTATTTAGTGTCTCTGCAAATGGGTTTCTAGTGATATCCGAAACCCTAGTGTGATTTGTTTATTGAATGTGTGTTTTTGGGGATACTGGTTTATTGTGATCCTTTGAAGCTCTAATCAGGTATGATAATTTTGTATTTATGATTGAGTGGATCATATTTCCAATACTCAAATCAGATTACACTTGTGATGGTGTTGTTATAGTGTCTCTAATTCATCAACCATTTTGAAAATCTGCATTGTGTTATAAATAGATTGGTTTCTCAAGATCTCATCTCAGATTCATTTGATTAGTTTGGTTGTGGTCTTGGATTTTAATTAGTTATATAACCCTAAGATTGTTAAATTTTTCATAACCTAATCACTTTACTGTGGCTCATTTGTCTGATAGAAATTTCAAAACACTAAATCAATTCTGTGTGATGCCCAGATTTAGTATAAGTTTTTGATTAATGTGTTGTTTTTGTTCTTCAAGGTATGAGCTTGGAAGACAACCTGCTAACACAAAGTTGTCGAGCAACAAGACAGTTCGGAGGATAAGAGTTCGAGGTGGGAATGTGAAATGGCGTGCACTGAGATTGGATACTGGGAACTTCTCTTGGGGGAGTGAGGCTGTGACACGAAAGACTCGTCTTTTGGATGTGGTTTATAATGCATCAAATAATGAGTTGGTTCGTACCCAGACATTGGTGAAGAGTGCAATTATTCAGGTTGATGCAGCTCCATTTAAGCAATGGTATCTTCAGCACTATGGAGTTGACATTGGTCGCAAGAGGAAAACTACTGCTGCTGCCAAAAAAGAAGGAGAGGTGAGAGTGTTCATTAATTGTTCTGATAGTTAGTCTCATTTTATTAGTTGGCTGTACTACATTTTAGTTGGAGATGCAATTTTTTATTTATATTGGTTTCTTCTTTTTTTGTTTTTGTTTTTGTGATGTAGTTACAAGTCACTTAGCACTACTGTATATATTTAATTGATTGTAGATTGTATTAGTGAATAGTTATGATATTGATGATAAAATCATGAATTGGTTACAATTTTTCAGAAAGTGGTTGAATTCTTGTATGTTTCTGTGCCCTCCTCACCCCCACCACTGCTCCCCATAACACTAGAAAAACCAAATGATCTCGGTGTCTGCTGTTAATGTTTTGTTGCTACTTTTCTTGAAACGAGAATATGGTCTCTTGCTATTGAAGTCAAATGTGAGTGGTTTCTGAAGAGTAGTGGACATCTTGTACTGTAGAGTAGGTGAACCCATTGGACTTATCAAATGGAACTTTCAGTTCTATCATCTTCATTTTTTAGTTTTTTTTTTAATTTTAAATTCCATATGATCCTTTCTCTGTTTTTAAGGCTTCATTTAGATTATTGCAGTGCTAACTGCTTATTTATGGCAACTTAAACCAAAACTATGAACAAAAAATATGCGACTCGTTTCTTTCTTGTTGTTTCTGTACACTCGGGCATGTATTGGAATACAAAGCAGTCTAGAAGAAATTAGTATGTTTTCAGTGTATCTATATGATAAATATGGTTAATATTATCTGTTACAAATCCTACCTATAATAGCTCTTGGCATCTTGTTCCTTCCTTGTTGCTTTTTATTGGCTCACAGGAGGGTGATGTGGCTGCTGAAGAGACGAAGAAGAGCAACCACATCGTGAGAAAACTGGAGAAGCGTCAACAGGAACGCAAGCTTGACCCCCATGTTGAAGAGCAATTTGGCAGTGGGCGTCTGTTAGCTGCAATCTCATCCCGACCTGGCCAGTGTGGTCGTGCTGATGGGTATGCAATTCCTTCTTCCCCTTTCTCCTTGTGGTCACTTTTGATTTCGAAATATTAAGAAGTTAGAGCACTGATTAACAAACAAATCTTTCAAGTCATTTTTAGGTGACATCTATGATTTTGGATATGTTTTTCAAATTTCCTGTGCCCATATCATCCAATTCCATATGTTTCCTTTTGTTGCTTTGGTAAATTGATTAGACATTTCAAACACATCAAAATACATGATAATCTTCTTCCTTCTGCACAAGTGAAAGAGGTCTTGGGATAAGATGCTTATTCCCTTACAGATGGTATCTAGTGATTACCAATTTACCATTTGATGAACCACCTTTACAATCCTTAACCATGTAATGGACTTAGAGCATCAGCCAAAATAACAAAAAGGTAAAATATAGTAAATCACAAAATTGTTCCTCCATCAATCTCAACAAATTTTTTTCTAAATTAACTTTTTGTTAAATTTGCTACAGTACCTCAAAAACTTTGTTGAGCTACTGATCATTAGCTACATGATTTTTTATTATATTTTCTGGAGCAAAACTGGGCCAAAATCTTTAAACCGGTCGTCCACCCAGATGTTCTCTTGGATATCCTATCGAATGTCCCGTGAGTGCCTGTAGCAGAAGAAAAAAAATGTCCAAAATTAGCCTAACTGATCGACTGGTCGGTCGGTCAACGGCAATTTTTTTTTTTTTTTAAGAATTGTTTGGATGACACCACATCAATTTGATAAATAGATAAATAAATAACAAATACAATAATAAATTAATATTTTAATAAGATTGAGTTAGAATAGAGAGTTTGATGTAGTGAATATTAAAAAGGTGACTAGTTAAAATAGTAAAAGTGGATTTTGAGTTATAATTTGATTAAAAAATTGAAGAGGTTATGCAGATGCTCTAAGAAGACAGGTCAGAGAAGCTAAGGCTCTGTTTGGTTGTGCTCTGAAATCAGTTTTCTACCTGTGTGTTGGAGTATGATGTTTGGTTTCGTTTTCAAATTAATTTTCTACACTCTGCAGAGAGAACTCTGATGCACAGGCGCCTTTTTTGTCCACCCGGATGACCACCCGGTAGACCACCCGGATGTCCGGCTGGTTCCAGATTTATTTTTATTTTTATTTTTTTTTTTTTTTTTGCAATTGATTTATATAATCGGGACGAATATTTTCTGAAAATTTTTAAATTTTTTATGTGCTTTAAAATAATTTTGAATTGTATGTTTAGTTATGAGTTGTAAATTTTTGTATCACATATCAAATGTCACATCATTAATTTCCCACTCAAATCAAACTTCTTTTTCAAAACTATTTTCAAAACTCTTTACCAAACAAATTTTCTACACTCAAATCATAATTCCACAACACACAAACTCAAAATACAACTCATACTCTCAAATTACATTTACAAAACTCTACCAAACACTACCTAATGTTTTCGTAGTTGTAAAGGATCTACCACTCTCAAATCATATGTTGGTTGCTTGTTTTTATCTTCTTTTATGGTGATTTTTTTTCTTAAAACCTAATGTATTGCTCAAATTGCTCAACAGGTATATATTGGAGGGCAAAGAGCTAGAGTTCTACACGAAGAAGATCCAGAGAAAGAAAGGAAAGGGTGCTGGTGCCGGTGCTGCTTGAAGTTTTTCATCTTAGAGTTCATGATCTCGTTTTTCCCAGATTTTCCTCTGGTCTTTTTTAAGACGTGGAACTGAATTTTGGTTGAGCTGACATTTAGCTTAAAACATTTTATTCTTATATTGTTGAATGTTAAGTTATTATCAACCTTACTTCTTATTTTCGTGTGCTTTACAAATTTTGGTGGAGCAGAGCTTTCAACTTCAGTTGTCTGCCCAGTGCCAGTAAAAAAAAAATAAATTAGACGTTAAAAAGTTAATTTTACTTTTAGTCCCTTAATTATTGTCATTTTTTTTCTTTTCTATTTCATTCCTAAACTATCAATTTTATCAATTTAGTAATTATTATTATTTTTAAATTTCAGAACATATAATCCAATTGAAGTCAATATCGGTAATATTGAAAATTTAATCAAATATTAATAAAAGTAATTTTACAATGTGAATAATCGAAATCATATAACTATTCATGTTTTCTTATTCACTATAATTATTGATTTAAACAACTGTCTTCAATTGGGTTATAATAGGTGAATTTAAATTTTTGATAAATTATAAATACATCTCCTTAAATTTGTTTAAAATACGAATTGTTTAGAATTAATTGAAAAAATAAAATTTCTAACTGTTTATCTATATAATAATAAAATTATCTGAATTATTAATTAAAATAAAATTTTAACATTATTAAAAATTATTAATTAATTTGATAATTTATAAATAAAATGATCTATTTGTTATGAAGTTAGAAATCTTAAAAGATATAATGTAATTTATAAAATCACAGGGAGCAATTTGTAATTGAAGTAAATCTCAGAGTGTTTTTTTGTAATTTACCCTTAAATTTTAAGTCTCAAATTTTGAAGCAATTTTTTTTCTCATCAAATTGGACTTGGAAGTGTAATTGGCTTGGATAACTCTCTTCAATTGAACCAAAATAGTTGAAATTAAAAATTCCAAAATAGTTGAAATTAAAAATTCCAAGGACTAAACAAATTTTATTAACAGAGTTGAAATTATTGATCCAAAAAACAAAAAAACAAATGAGGGTTGACATTAAAATTTTTAAAGACTAAACAAATTTTAATAACTTAAACAGATAAAATTGATAACCATAAAAAAAATAAAAAATAAATAAAAACAGATAAAATTGATAGTTTAAGATGATAATTTAGGAGATTTGATAGTAACAAAAACAAAAGTATCATCTTTTGATTTAGCAACAATGATAAGCAAGTCAACTGATTAGTACCTCATAAAAACACCCCAACATCAAAAACCAACTACTGAGAAGTACTCTATTGTACAATAGAACATTTGTTCGTGTAAACTGACCAAAAAATTGGTCTCCTAGCAAAATCAGAACTCCTGTGTGCTCCCTCCCTAACTAGTATTGAAAATTTTGAAAACAAAGCTGAACAAAACAAACTTAGAGCCCATAAGAAGTCAAAAAACTGAAACCATGAATCCATCGGCTCCACTCTCACAGATTCCGAATGTGTAGACGATGTTAAATAGAACTCAATACAAACAATATGCACTTTCAGCATCCAAGACTTCTCAATATGCTGCTGAGCTTATCGATAACCTCTGAAGGTTTAGCATATGATCCAGCCAGATTTATGGCATGATACTCCAACCCTTTCCACCGTGCAATCAAAGCAAAATGAGGACGCCTGTACGCACTACTAATGATCTCTAGAATCACCGTTTTTGAAGTTGCAGAAACTATGTGAGTGAGACCTGCCCCGTGAGCACCGATAATGACTGAAGCATCTTGAATGGCTTGTACTTGCTCTTTCATGGGCATGTGTGCAAACAATCCATTGACTAGGTTTATTTTGCATTCCAACTTATTCGACATCCAGCTCCTTAAAGCATCAAAAACCTCTTGTTCATTGCTAAGCCTTGATTCAACTTTACCACCGTGTCGTGGATGGGCTAAATAATCCTCACGTCTAACGAAGAGTACGTTGTGACCCGAGACCGGCTTTGAGGTTCGTTGTCTATTTACTGGAAATCCAAATGCGGCTCTTATCACCTCTCCAAACTCCGATAATCGTGCAGTTTTCTGAATATCGGGGTTTTGCCACAAGTCATGTGCAGAAGCTCCTTGACAATTTATATTTTCAGAAAGCCCCTTAAACAGGGCAGTTTCATATCCCAAAGGTGAGAGGATAGCATGGCGAAAACAGACTGGACTGCTGAAGTTTTTGGCATATCTAACGCTCGAAAACAATGCCCTCCATGTGTCCTCCAAGGGTGCCTGAATTTTTTTCACAGGGGAACAGAGATCAGGATGTTGATTTGCGAACCGTGTAACAAGTCAATCATGCAATGATGACAGAAGAAAATAAACAAAACTAGAAGCCAAGTGCTATGATATCTAATCAGCACATCTTTATTAGCATGCAATTTGTTATTGAAGCATAGTTCCATTGAAAAAGAATAACACAAAGTCCTAAACATAGAATTAGTAATTTTTTGCATTAACAGAAGTCACTCAAAGGTGAAGCACATTAATTAAAATAAGTGGGTGAAAATAGGGTAGATCAAGCAGCTGGCACATTAGCTAAATTCATTCAATCATATGAACAGCAAACAGGAAAGTAATGAAGAATAGAAAGAAGAAAAGTACTGAAATAAGTCTTAAATGTCTGATGAGTACAAATTGTCCAGCATCTAGGGTCTTGGGATCCAGGTCTTCTTTCTGTCTTTTCTTTCCCTTTTCTTTTTTCTTTTTCTTTTACTTATAATAATCACAGATCTTGGTCATGATTACCTTAGATTAAACCAAAGATATGACTTTGAATGAAGCCATATGGAAAATGATCCACATAGCCAACCACTAATTGGGATTAAGGTTTTTGTTCAATTGACTACCACAGGTCTAGGTCATGTTCGAATAGCCATATTTTCAGATATTCAAACAAAACTGATGGCCCATAAAAGTGCCACTAGAGAGAATTTTTTTCACAAAAATATATCTGATTAATAAAATTACTTGCTCCCCTAATTCCACTATTTTCTCTGTTACTTAACAAAAGCAGGGGTATATAATATTTATTTACCAAATGTTGATCAGCAGATTTCTACTATATAGCACAAAGAATCGCAAAGATGATATGAATAATATAAATTTGAGCACACATACCACACAATGGCCGTCTACAAAAACCACATTAGGTCGATTAGGCAAGCCAGTAACTCTAGAAGCCACATATGCACTGTACCAATCTGTAACTGTGTGGAAAAGATTTGCGTACTCAAAGCGTATGACAAGAAGCGTCGGCTCCTCAACCCACTGTAACAAGAGACTTTCATGTCACACACATAACGATATAGTCACAAAACAACTAGCAAAAGAGATCATTAAAATACTTGTTAAAAAATGGACACATGACACATTAAAGAGTGAAGACTGCTACAATGTTTCCATGCAGATTTTCATAGTAAAGTGGTGGCATGTGTAAATTGAAAACCCAAAACCTTAAAGGTCCTATTCAAATAATTTAAAATTTCCTTTTGTAACCAAGTTTGAAAAGCGCTAATGGTGTCATGGATTGAATGTTTTCGCTCATTACACTTGTCCCAAGGATCTCCCATATCATAACTACAACGAGTTCGGATTTGCTATAGTTGAAGATATCAACTCACAGGTGAAATTGGTGCATTATGTGACTAATTTATAGCCATGCCAATGATTTGAAATGTTCATCTCATTTGAAGGTGGTAGGAGATACTCAGATACCAATAAAGCTAATAATACCCAGTTATATCTCACTCCAATCAAATCCTAATTATTAGGATTCCAATTGATTCTTGGTTACAGCCTTACAGGCACGCCAATAGGCAGAACAACTACATCAAGAAAAAGAGTATTTTATTTTCAGGGAATTCATAAGAGCATTGACTTCATATTGTAAACATCACTTTAGCATAAATAATGCGCACTTAATTCAATACTTACCCACTTCAGAATTATGTAATAGTGGCCCCCTTTTTTTTTGCTTTTGTTTGAGCAGGGTTGTGGAGGAAGTGAATTTTAAATAGTTTCTGAACTATTTTTCTGCATACATTGAAGAAATTTCTATAACAGGAGTACAAGATTCATTCTTTCAGCAATAATGAAATTTATTTCAACTGATTAAGTTAGCCCTGAAAAGGAAATCAAATTATTATTGTAATTTGTAAGTAGGACCAACAATTGGAAATCTAATGCGTTTCAAGTCCCAAATCGCAAGACAAAATTAAATCAAAGCTAAATAAATCATCATCAACATGTAAAAGAAGTAGTTTGCAATTCAGAGTAGTGGAATTTATGACAACACATCTAAAACTTGTTGATAAATTACTAACCTCAGAGCATTGGAAGTCACTAGCACCAACTAACTTGACCGAATCGACCAAACCACGCATCGTGTGCTGCGAATCCGCACCAAACTGCAGATACTGATTAAGAAACTCATCATCCACAAGCTTCCTTCCATGATTCGATCGATCCACAACCTCAACATCAAAAGCTCCCGATTCGAACACCGGCAACTCCTCATCCTCTCCCCTCCCCATCACCGCCTCCAACCTCTCTCCCCCAATCGACATCCTAATCTTGTCCGGATGCATCCGAACCCTCCCGCCTTCACAAATCGAGCTCCGCAACGTCTCACTGTAGAAGCACCGAAACCAGCCTCCAGTCCGGTGATCGGAGAGCGAGGATTTGAGGAGATCGATCCGGCGAGTGAAGCCGTTGCCGAAGTAGGATTCGCAGGATCTGAAGGGGACGTTGGGGTTGAGAGACCATGGGAGGTACGACGGAAGGATTGGCCATGGTTTTGAGAGGGAGAAGTTGTGGGGGTTATCCGTGAGAGTGTGGCCGTTCCCGGTGAGAGATTGGTGGTTTTCCGATGGGGGAGAGTGAGGGGAGTGGTCGGGGTGGGGGGATAAGTAGAGGTAGAGAGAGATTGAGTTGAAAGCGAAGAGGAAGATGAGGAGTCCAAGCTTCGTTCTGCTCATATTCTTTCTTTCGATGAGGAGGATTACAATTTACAGTCTCTGTCTCTCTCTCTCTCTCTCTCTACTCTCTCACTACATTACAGAGCTCCGTTCCGGGGTGTGTCTACTCTCTCTCTCTGTCTCTCTCTAGCTTTTAGTACTATAAACTAAACTTGTTAGAGCATCTCCAACCCACTAGGCATATGATGCTTGTTAGTCAAAATGCTTAATGTGACTCACTTTTTTTAACTCCAATGCACTAGGCATATGCTTAGGCATTTTGACTCAACTCAAATTTACTAACTACATATAACTAGCCTTCAAAGGTTAGGCAAAGTATATTTAATCATTAATATTTTCCCTTAGAGCACGTTCAGCAGCATACATACATACATACATACATACATACAGTACAACAGTAACAAATACGAATATCGAATTTTCTAATCATAAATTTTTTTGTTTACGGGTAGGTAAGGTGAAGACTTATCTGCCGTACAATGTAGACTTGCCTTACACCCGCTCTTAAAATTCCAATTGTGTATATATTTTGGGTTGGAATCCGCGAATAAATTATTTATGTGAAAATTTTAAGCGACCCTCTCTATCCTTATTTTACTCTATCTTGATTTAAATACATTTTATATTTTATTTTTATTATAAATAGTTATATTTACAATAGTGCTACATTTATACAACTTTTTTTCCCCTAATTTTTATTACAAATAGTTACATTTATAGCAGTACTATATTTACATAATTTTTTTTTCTACAATTCTCTTCATGAACTGACAAAACAAAATACATAAAAAGAGAGTTTTAAAAAAATATTTAAATATGAGTCAATTTTTTAAATTTTACGGGTCACGTCATTAAAGGAATTATAGAGAAAATAAATTGTGTAGATAAATTATTTTTCACCACTCCAATTGAGGTATGTGTGTAAAAGTAAAATAGATTTTAATGTATTAATATATAATAAAAACAAAGTATAGAGTGTGAATAGCGGCTCCCAATTTTAATTAGATCTTTTTTTAGATAAATTAAAAAAAATAATTTATTAACTTATTTGAGTCACATTATTTATTTATTTTTTTACACATTTTTTTATAATAAATAAAAAAATTAACTTATAAATCATATCTAAAACAACTAGTATTAATTCGATCTGTTTGGCTTGAGTTAAATTATTTAGTGGTCTTGAGCAACTCCATGTGATGCTCAACTTGATTTTTATTAGGAGTAATGTTATACAAACAAATTTTTCTTACAAATTGATATGTTATCTAGAATATTAGTAAGTTCGGCCTTATTTCATATTTTAAAGTTGTATCACTCCATGTCACATCAGTTTATAAAAAAAGTTAATATATATAGATATATATATATATATATTTATAACATTTTCCTTTTATTAGTCAAGATGGTAATACTTTTTGTCTGATTTATGAGAAATAACATTCACCGTGTTTGGTTTGAGTTTTCTGAATTAAGTTTTTTAAAAATTAAATTTTTTAATTTTCGTGTTTTTTTGTTTTTAGTGAATATTTATAAAATTTTAAACATTTTTTTACTTTTTTAGTTGCACCTTACTTAGATGTGTCTAAAAAGTAAAAAAATTGTGAAAAATATTTTAAAAAATTAAAAAATACATAAAAATACAAAAAATGTACTAAATTCTTATATTTTTTTTGTATTTTTTATATTTAGTGAATTTTTAAAAGATTTTTTTTACAATTTTCTTACCTTTTAGGTGTATTTATGTTAGGTGTGTCTAAAAAGTAAAAAAATTGCATAAAATATTTAAAAAATTCAGTAAAAATAAAAAAATACGGAAAATAAGAATGTAAATTTTTCTGAAAACTGTTTTTAAAAAATGAGAACCAAGCAAAGTGATTACATTTGTCATGTGTTGAATGGTGTGGAGTATTGTTCCTGTACCACCAAATAATCACTTCTAGTTTGAAGTTTTTAAGAAAATTTAATTCGTATTTTTTTTCTTTTTAGTAAATTTTTTTTAATATTTTAATCACTTTTTTATTTATTTATAAATTTTTAGATTTTTTTAGATATACTTAAAAAACATGAAAGTGCCGTTTGGTAACACTTACGTTTTCAGTTTTCTGTTAGAGAGTTTGATGTAGTGAATATTAAAAAAGTGACTAGTTAAAATAGTAAAAGTGGATTTTGAGTTATAATTTGATTAAAAAATTGAAGAGGTTGATGCGGATGCTCTCAGAATTCTGTTAGAGAGTTTGATGTAGTGAATATTAAAAAGGTGACTAATTAAAATAGTAAAAGTGAATTTTGAGTTATAATTCGATTAAAAAATTGAAGAGGTTGATGCGGATGCTCTTAAAAGATAGGTCAGAGAAGCTAATGTTTTCGTAGTTGTAAAGGATCTACCACTCTCAAATCATATGTTGGTTGCTTGTTTTTATCTTCTTTTATGGTGATTTTTTTTCTTAAAACCTAATGTTTTGCTCAAATTGCTCAACAGGTATATATTGGAGGGCAAAGAGCTAGAGTTCTACACGAAGAAGATCCAGAGAAAGAAAGGAAAGGGTGCTGGTGCCGGTGCCGGTGCTGCTTGAAGTTTTTCATCTTAGAGTTCATGATCTCGTTTTTCCCAGATTTTCCTCTGGTCTATTTTAAGACATGGAGCTGAATTTTGGTTGAGCTGACATTTAGCTTAAAACATTTTATTCTTATATTGTTGAATGTTAAGTTATTATCAACCTTACTTCTTATTTTCGTGTGCTTTACAAATTTTGGTGGAGCAGAGCTTTCGACTTCAGTTGTCTGCCCAGTGCCAGTAAAAAAAAATTAGATGTTAAAAAGTTAATTTTACTTTTAGTCCCTTAATTATTGTCATTTTTTTTTCTTTTCTATTTCATTCTTAAACTATCAATTTTATTTATTTAGTAATTATTATTATTTTTAAATTTCAGAACATATAATCCAATTGAAGTCTATATCGGTAATATTGAAAATTTAATCAAATATTAATAAAAGTAATTTTACAATTTGAATAATCGAAATCATATAACTATTCATGTTTTCTTATTCACTATAATTATTGATTTAAACAACTGTCTTCAATTGAGTTATAATAGGTGACTTTAAATTTTGGATAAATTATAAATACATCTCCTTAAATTTGTTTAAAATACGAATTGTTTAGAATTAATTGAAAAAATAAAATTTCTAACTGTTTACCTATATAATAATAAAATTATCTGAATTATTAATTAAAATAAAAATTTAACATTATTAAAAATTATTAATTAATTTGATAATTTATAAATAAAATGATCTATTTGTTATGAAATTAGAAACCTTAAAAGGCATAATGTAATTTATAAAATCACAGGGAATAATTTGTAATTGAAATAAATCTCAGAGAGGGTCTTTTGTAATTTACCCTTAAATTTTAAATCCTGCAAATTTTGAAGCCATCTTTTTTTCTCATCAAATTGGACTTGAAGTGTAATTGGCTTGGATAACTCTCTTCAATTGAACCAAATAGTTGAAATTAAAAATTCCAAAATAGTTGAAATTAAAAATTCCAAGGACTAAACAAATTTTATTAACAGAGTTGAAATTATTGATCCAAAAAACAAAAAAAAAAAAATGAGGGTTGACATTAAAATTTTTAAAGACTAAACAAATTTTAATAACTTAAACAGATAAAATTGATAACCATTAAAAAAAATAAAAAATAAATAAAAACAGATAAAATTGATAGTTTAAGATGATAATTTAGGAGATTTGATAGTAACAAAAACAAAAGTATCATCTTATGATTTAGCAACAATGATAAGCAAGTCAACTGATTAGTACCTCATAAAAACACCCCAACATCAAAAACCAACTACTGAGAAGTACTCTATTGTACAATAGAACATTTGTTCCTGTAAACTTACCAAAAAATTGGTCTCCTAGCAAAATCAGAACTCCTGTGTGTTCCCTCCCTAACTAGTATTGAAAATTTTGAAAAAAACAATAATGAATGTTGAGAAGAAAACACACATCCACTTGTCTTCATCTTACCCACCTCTCACTTGTTGATATTCCAGCAACCATTGACAAAATTGCCCATTATGCTATCCACCAATCATTTGTGAAGACAGCTGAACAAAACAAACTTAGAGCCCATAAGAAGTCAAAAAACTGAAACCATGAATCCATCGGCTCCACTCTCACAGATTCCGAATGTGTAGAAGATGTTAAATAGAACTCAATACAAACAATATGCACTTTCAGCATCCAAGACTCCTCAATATGCTGCTGAGCTTATCGATAACCTCTGAAGGTTTAGCATATGATCCAGCCAGATTTATGGCATGATACTCCAACCCTTTCCACCGTGCAATCAAAGCAAAATGCGGACGCCTGTACGCACTACTAATGATCTCTAGAATCACCGTTTTTGAAGTTGCAGAAACTATGTGAGTGAGACCTGCCCCGTGAGCACCGATAATGACTGAAGCATCTTGAATGGCTTGTACTTGCTCTTTCATGGGCATGTGTGCGAACAATCCATTGACTAGGTTTATTTTGCATTCCAACTTATTCGACATCCAGCTCCTTAAAGCATCAAAAACCTCTTGTTCATTGCTAAGCCTTGATTCAACTTTACCACCGTGTCGTGGATGGGCTAAATAATCCTCACGTCTAACGAAGAGTACGTTGTGACCCGAGACCGGCTTTGAGGTTCGTCGTCTATTTACTGGAAATCCAAATGCGGCTCTTATCATCTCTCCAAACTCAGAAAATCGTGCAGTTTTCTGAATATCGGGGTTTTGCCACAAGTCATGTGCAGAAGCTCCTTGACAATTTATATTTTCAGAAAGCCCCTTAAACAGGGCAGTTTCATATCCCAAAGGTGAGAGGATAGCATGGCGAAAACAGACTGGACTGCTGAAGTTTTTGGCATATCTAACGCTCGAAAACAATGCCCTCCATGTTTCCTCCAAGGGTGCCTGAATTTTTTTCACAGGGGAACAGAGATCAGGATGTTGATTTGCGAACCGTAACAAGTCAATCATGCAATGATGACAGAAGAAAATAAACAAAACTAGAAGCCAAGTGCTATGATATCTAATCAGCACATCTTTATTAGCATGCAATTTGTTATTGAAGCATAGTTCCATTGA